TTGAACTGCCAGCCTTCTGGTTAGCAATCAAGGGCCTTAGGCACTATGCTACCAGAGCATCTTTCAATATCACAACTCAAGGCTTAAATTTATTCTTCAGTTCTTTCAGCTTGAGAAATGCTGAGCGTGTTCTTCCCTTTTGGTTTTCTAACTCCAGGTTTTTGCACATTTCATTTTAATAATTGACTTTGTCTTCACAAGCTGCTCTTTGAAATCTTCTGTTCAGCTCCTTTATCTGGTCATTTCTTTCATTTCCTTTAGCTACTCTCTATTCAAGGGCAAGTTTCAGTGTCTCTTTTGACATCCAGTTTGTTTCATTTCTTCCTTTCCTGTCTTTTTGGTGACCTTTTGCTTTCTTCATGGTTGATATTCTTGATGTCATCCCACAACTCCTCTGGTTTTCCATCACTGGTGTTCAATGCATCAAATCTATTCCATAGATGGTTCTAAATTCAGAAGGAATGTAATCAAGGTCATATCTTGTCTCTTGTGGACTTGTTTTAATTGCTCTTGGCTTCAACTTGAACTTGCATATGAGCAGTTGATGGTCTGCTCTACAATCAGCTCCTGGCCTTGTTTTGGCCCCAGATATTGAGCTTCTCCATTACCTCTTGCTACTGATGTAGTCAGTCTGATTCCCGTGTACTCCATTTGGTGAAGTCCATGTGTATAGCCAGAGTTTGTGTTGCTGAAAAAGATATTTGCAATGAATGATTCATTGGTCCTGCAAAATTCTATCATGTAATCTCCAGCATTATTTCTATTACCAAGGCCAAATTTTCCAACTACTGGTGATTCTTCCTTTCCAACTTTTGCATTCTAATCACTGGTGATAACCAACACACCTGTATTGCATGTTCAGTCAATTTCAGACTGCAGAAGTTGGTAAAAATCTTCGATTTCCTTGGCTTTGGCTTTGGTGGTTGGTGCATAAATCTGAATAACAGTAGTATTAACTGGCCTTCCTTGTAGGCATATGGATATTATCCTATCACTGATAGGATTCTACTTCAGGACAGATCTTGAAACATTCTTTGTCATGATGAATGCCATGCCATTCCTCTTCAAGTAGTAGATCATATGGTTGTCTGATTCAAAATGGCCCAAACCTGTCCATTTCAGCTCACTAATGCCTAGGACATCAATCTTTATGTAGTCTATTTCATTTTTGAAATCTTTATGTAGTCTATTTCATTTTTGACAACTTCCAATTTTCCTAGATTCATACTTTTTATATTTCATGTTCTGATTATTAACAGATGTTTGCAGCTGTTTCTTCTCATTTTGAGTCATGCCACATCAGCAAATGGAGGTCCTGAAAGGTTTACTCAATCCACTCATTAAGATTGGCTCTACGCTGAGAAGACAGCTCTTTCCCAGTCGTATTTTGAGTGCCTTCTGACCTGAGGAGCTCATCTTCTGGCACTATATCAGACAATGTTTCAGGGCTATTCATAATGTTTTCCAGTAATGTATCAGACAGTGTTTCACTGCTATTCATAAGGTTCTCACTGGCCAATTCTCTGAGAAGTAGATGCCCTCTTTCTTCTTCCTAGTCTGTCTTAGTCTGGAAGCTCCACTGAAACCTGTTATGGTAGTTAAAGTATGTCAACTTGGTTGGGCCTGGTTGAGTGGCTAGGCAGCTAGTGGTAGTTATTCCCCATGGTAAGACTGGTAATTAACTCCATGGTGGAATGTATTGGAGCAGTTGAATAGCTGCTTTAGGGTTGTGGTCTGCTTCCTGTATATAAGAAGCAGGTTTGGGAATGATCTCTAGCTTATGGCACACTTGAACCCTGCATATAGCTGTGTCGTTTTTCAGTAGCCTGCCATGCTCTGCTGACTTTGGAACTTTCAATGGACTTGAATTAATGGCCTGCCATGTGGTTTGGTAACATTGGGACTGTGCCTTTTTACTTGTCAACCTTGGGCTTGTCAGTCTCAGCAGCCAGCAGCTGCTGAGAAGAAAAGCCTCTAGCCCCACTGGGCCGGGAGCAGGAGGCAGAGCTGAAGCCCAAGGTTGAGGGACTTTCACCAAGCTCCTAGAGCCTGGCACTTTGAACTTGGACTTAAAGCCTCCAAACTGTAAGAGAATAAACTCTCATTTGTTCAAGCATCCCATTTGTGGTATATTCCTGTCAGAGCAGCACTAGCTAACCAAAACACCTGTCCACCATGGGTAACCCTGTTGGTATTTCAAACACCAGTGGCATAGTCTCCAGCCTCACAGCAACATGCAAGCCACCACAGTAAGACAACTGACAGACAAGTTCATCTCCTTTAGTTGTTTCAAACCACTCTGCTCACTTCCCTGGCCTCCCCTAAGCTGTTCTGACCTGCCACTGGTTCCTACTTCCTTTCCTGGCTTCCCCTAAGCTCTGCTTTAACTACATAGCAAAAAACATCATAAGTAAAATCAACAGGCAAACAACAACAAAAATGCCATTGATAACAGACAAAAATGTTAAAAATACGCACACACACATATATATAGAGAAAACTCCTAAAAATCTATAGAAAAAAGAAAACCAATAATCCAATAGAAAAATGATCAAGGCATATGAACAGGAAAGAAAGTACAAATGGCATTTAACCAGATTATGTTCATCATAAGATAAATGTCACAGCACAATGTTTTATAATAGTGATGATGATAGACTTCCATGTCTTGTTGATTTTAAAGGAAGCACTTTTAGTGATACTATTTTTCACTTATCAAGTTGGCAATTATCCCCCAAATTGTCTATACGCTGTTGCCAAAGCCATGGAGAAACAGGTGCTCTTGTGCAGTGCTGACCAGAATAGAAATAACCTCTTTGGAGGGTGATTTGATAATACTTCAAGTCAACCTGGAAGATCCACTTCTGAGATATCATCCCACAGATGTTCTTGTGAAATTATTTGGATGCACGAGGTTATTCAGCATAACTTCTTTGTAAAAACATAGGATTGGAAATGACTCACATAACTATCAAGAAAGGCTGGCAAATAAATTATGGTACAACTATAAATTCTAATAGTTTTCAGTTACGAAAAAAATAAATAAAAATATGGGGACACTCTCTTTTTGTGCAGATATTTTGTTCAATGGAAATAAAAAAAGTCTCAACCTTGTAAATATATGCCACTTTTGTATACCTTTCAGGGAAACTATCAGAATATATTCACATTTGCTTATATAAGCATGAAAAAACTGGAAGATTGTGTAAGAAACTAATTCATTGAGAGACTTCCTTCTGTATTTTCTGATTTTTGAACTGTGTATTACTGATTGAAAATATTCCTTTTAAAAATACAAATATCTTTTGTTCGTCTTAAAAAAGGAGTATTTCACAAAGTGGAAAAATAGAGATCAAAAAGATTATTCTTTACGTATGGAGAGAATTGTCCCACCTCAACCTCAACAAGGCAGCTGATTTTAGACTTGCATTTCTGCTGACCTAGCCACTCCCTTTCACCTACTTCCTCTCAGGAACATGGGTGTAGTACTCTAAAAGGAACTAGCTGTTCTACCCGTTTATGGCCACATGTGTTTTGATGACTTACCCTTGTCAAATAGTCTAACCTATTCCTACAACTAGCCACAGACAGAAACATTGATTTTATACTTTTAAGAAGCTAAAGCATCATCCTTTGCATTGGCTTTTATTTTCATCCGTACAAAAAAAAATAACAGTATTTTTTAACCTCATAAGGATGAAGCCTCTTTTGGAATTCCTCTGATTTCAAAGTCTCATCCTCAAGTTTTTTAAAACGAGGGCATGTCTTGAAAGGCAGGTACAGCAACTAAAGACAAAAGAAAAATAAATATACCTTTATTAGTCAGAAGAATTTGGCTAAAGAAACTACACCCATGTTGTAAGCTTTATCAAGTGCAAATTGAACTGAATAAAAGATTCTGGTGTGATTTGAACTAAAGAGAAATTCAAAACTGGGAGAAAAGACATAAAGCGTTTGCAGATCTTAAAATTGAGTCCCAATGGTACAAACTGTTAATGTGCTCAGCTGCTAACCCCAAAGTTGGTGGTTTGAGTTCACCCAGAGGCACTTTGAAGGAAAGATCTACTTCTGAAAAATCAGTCATTGTAAACTCTCTGGAGCAATTCCACTCTCCCATACATGTGGTCTCCATGAGTTGGAGTCAATTTGATAGCAACTGTTTTGTTTGTTCATTTTTTAATTCTTTTTTTTGTAAATGCATTCTATTGAAATATAATTTATGTACAGTGAAATATACAAAACTAAAGTGACATGGGTCCATGCTTTTTTTTTTTTTTTTTTTACATATTGAAGAATCTTT